GAAAAGCCATACGCAAACTTTGAAACTCTTCTTGTCTCAAATTCATGCTACACAAATTACTTATTCGTTTTATCAAGCGTTTTTAAGTATGTGAGCATCTAGGGAATAATGTACCCTTTAACCTGATTAATGAGTAGAACTGTAAGAAAAGAAAAAAATTAAGAACCAACTCTGCATCATGCTACATGCCGCCGTATATTCTGTTCTTACATGTTCATAATGCAAAGAAATTTCTATAATTCATTTTACAGGATTTTTTCTATCCAATTCTGGCTGCGTGATGCCCGAACGTGAGTTTACTTTTCCAAATGTCTCTCACCTCATATATTAATCCATAACAATACATAAAAATAAAGTTTAGTACTATATAAGTTAGTGGCAGTTTTTGTGTGCATAGCGTAATGTTTCGTATCTAAAGATCTAAAGACGCTAATGACTATTAGTTTAAGTTCAAAAGTTTCACTCACCATGAGCCTTTGCGAAATTCGAGAATAAGTGAAATATTTATGTGCTAACGTAGTTGAGGCATAACTGCAAAAGTCCAAAATCTCTGTACTTATTTATTTACCTTTCTCCAAAGCCATTAGAAGCAATATTTATTGACAATTTTCAAAGGCTGATCCTCGGATTGTATGCCAAGGTCATGTAGTCTTTGCTCTATGTCAGACGTAGACATATCTTTTAAAAATATGGAACATTGCAAAACTACAATTATGTAGTGTAGTAACTCCATTACTGTTCTTTCTATCACCGTTGAATTGCATGTTCTTCAAATAGCTTTCTTTCGTTTAAAATCAAAAGTAAACAATATTGTGCAAACATAAAAACGTTATTTCTGCACTACAAAGTACTTTTTCTCACAAAAATTTTTGTAGGTGTTTGCGTAGTAAAGTGTTTTGTCTCAAAGTAAAATTTTAAACTCATATATAAGTGTCGCAGATTCAGAGAAATTTCGCGGTGCATGGATCCTAGCAGGACTATATGCAGCAATAATGATAGAATCTGCCACAGTCGGCCTTTTGTTCCACTCTACTCTTTCAGAGATGGTCGATCATAGTCGGATGACCGTAGAGCAAAGGTTATCTTTAGTTTTCTTTTGTAGTAGGAGACTACACAGGAAGAGCTTTTTCTTAAATGACGATTTGTTGTTCAGGGACAGCGTAGCTGTCGTAATCCTTACTTTTGTCGTCGTATCTCTTATAGGTAAGTATTTCTTTTAAAAAATTGTTCTTAATTCGCAATTCCAGTATACAATGTTCTAGGATACACTCTTACCGTCCCCTGTCTATGCTATGCCGTACAGAAACACTCAGCATCAGCTTTGGTACCTTATCTTGTTTGGAGAATGCTATTTTCAGTAATTATACTCATGGTCGTCATATGGCAGGTAATATTGCTTTTGACGTCAATCTTGAGAGCATAAGGGATGTGGGGATTTTTGTACTTTTCTAAATTTTAGAGCACCACTTCACCTAAAAAACCGCTACTATTTCGCTCAGCTTTTTATGGCCGGCAATTTCCTGTGGCTATGACAGAGGTAAGCGACTCAAATTAATCTTACGAATTATTACATTAATTTTTGACGTTTAATAGTCCTACATACTAGCAGGAAACTCGCAAAATTACCACTATCGTGCGTGCGAACATTCTGTGTTCTGTAACAGCTCCTTGGATAGCTCCAGATCAGCCCAACTTTCTAGTAATTGTAGCGCCTTTTTTAGCAAAAATTGTAGCGTTGAGAAGCTGCGATCGTAAGGATAACTTTTAAAATACTCTGTGCATGATTTTCTCTAGGGAACAAGGGCAACAATTTCATCGTTGGCAATGACGGGATATCTCAAATATTTTAAGTCAGATTTTTTAATATCAGCGTAGAGCATAGGAATTATCTATTTGATACTATATCCAAAAAGCAGCTGGTCTCTACCAAGCTAGCATTATCTACTTAATCGTCGGTCAGCTGTCCTACACAATTTCCTCTAACTAAGAAAGATTGATTTATATTTGAAAGATAGGGGAGGCTGCAGATATCGACTAAGTACATTACTTGGACTGTTTCGCAGTCCTCTTATCCTTCCATAATAAATTTTGTTCGCGCCAAAAAACGACATTATTGACATTCCAGCCATCTGCAATCTCTCAATCTACGCGCTTTATCCCAACTTCCACTTTTTGTCTTAAGTTCCATGTCCTTATATATCACTGGAAAACGCTGCTCTTCAGTAGTTTGTATATCATCAAATCCCTGACAACGTCAATCTCAAGTTCTTCTGTTTTCGCAATTTCCAAAA